GTTAGAACCTTGGGGCTTTTGGCCGTTGAGTAGCAAGAAGCCTCAGATTTGGGTTCTCGAGCCATTCAAGCCCGATGCCCAAGCCGCCACACCCTCAAGCCCTATGAGGTTGGGCTTGGAACTTTGGGCGCAGTCCACTTCAGATCCTGGGCAGCCGCCCTCAAACGGGAAGCCTTAAACCCCAAGCTCCAGGCAGTCGCACTCCCAGGTCCACCTGGGGCTAGCAAGGGTTAGGGTTTAAGGTTGGAAAGCCATTTGACGTGGCTCCGGGACTTTTGTAGGGATAGAGTTGCGGGTTTCAGGACCCCAAGGGCTAGGATTTCGTGGACCAAGCTTCTGCAATTGGCTGTAGAGGGCATGTGCAGTCTCCACCAGCCACGCACTGTGCCCGAATGATACGACAACGTCAGAGCCAAAAACCTGACATCCTCCTTCTCGGTTTCAGCACAGGTCCTGGAGCACCAAAGACAAACAGGCCACTGCACCTCAACACCTGAAGCCCAAATCTTGTAGCATCACTCCACGACCAGTGACACCCGAACGACTCTCCAAAGACTCTCCCTAAGTACAATGAATGTGGCATAGTGGAGCACCCGCATTCTTGCCAGGTAAAGATCGGGAATCGGGATGGACCAGTCCTAGGCAGTTGGCGTTGTTTTGGGGATTCTCCCCGAAGCGCGGAAAGCTGGGAATTGCTCTGGCTGTTTGCAGGGTTTAGGCTTGAGGGTCTAGGGGAATCCTTAAGGGATGTGTGGATGCCCGGTTTGGCAGGTGTCAGACACATTTAGACTGTCAGGTTGGCGGACGTCTGGTGTAGCACCTCAGGCTCGCAGCTTATCCAAGACCCGCAACAGCACCGTACGCAAAACACGACACATCCTACACGGGCTACACAGGCAGTTAGGTTGCGATCCATCGGAAACAAGCCTAGACTCACACATTCGGTTTTGGGTGTAGGGTTGAGGGTTTAGGCTGCTCGAACTTTAGGATGGCTTGCAAGCGGCTGCGGACAAGTTAGATTTAAACGAGGGACTCCAGCGTTGTAAGGCGGTCAAATCAGACATGACCCTTTCTCACTCGACACCAATGCCTCAGCTTCCAAAAGCAATCCTTCGGGTAAAACCCTAACCCTAAACCCCAAACCCCAAACCCTAAACCCCCCCTAAACCCTAAACCCCTGGTACATCCACAAGAGGGGAGCTTCTTGGATCCTGGCCCGGTCCGCTTCCTTGATCCTGGCGATACGTGCGGGGTCGAGACTGGGAGCCTTGCACTCCCCAAACTCCTATTTAGGGTTTAGGGTTTAGGGCTTAGGGTTTAGGCCTTGAAAGGCCCTCAGGTCGGAAGGTTGTTCCTGATGCTTTGGATGGGTCTCCGCATTCTTCGGGCTTTTGTGGGGGGACTTCTGGGGCCAACAGAAAACAGCCATCTCTAGGGGGCCTCAAGAAAAAGAATAGGATTTTGAGGGGTTGTTATAGCAGATTGTATACTTATATAGGGACCCCCTAAGGGGATAATATTCGTATCTATTCCGACCCGCTTTTTTCTCTAGGGATGCAAGTGGGGCGGTTTAAGGTTGAGCGTACGGGCACATAAGCTTTTGGCTCCTAAGCCCAAAGCCGTTTACAATCTAAATTCCATAAACCCTGAACCCTACATCTCACACTGCCGGCTTGCACTGAAGCCATCATCACCCATCATCTCGGTACCCACCGTGCATGAAAGCCATGCCCTGGGTCGGTGGGCACGTAGGCATCCATGCCCTGAAAACCCGAGAAGCTCTTAGCCCTCACCCCCCTTTGACCCAATCCTCCAGGCCTGAGGGATCAACAATACAAGTCTCTCCCTCTGAGGTCCCTGAAACCCTAAACCCCAAACCCTAAACCCTTAAACCCTACACCAAACAACCCCCCAAAAACCCTACACCCGAAAACCTCAAGACCGCGGTCCCTCTAAACCCCCCCCACATCGGCGCCAGGGCGCTGCTGGGCTTCATCGGCCTTCCTCTTCTGCGCCGCCTGCGCCTCGCAATTGTAGATCCCCAAATAATAGGATCCCCTTAGAATAAGGACTCCAATAAGGTACCCCTAATTTCGGAAACTGCCAGGTTCGGAGCGTAAGATGTCGAGAACTACGATATCACATGACTCAAAGCGTTTCAGGTCTGGGGTGTGTTGGGGTGCTTATGGGGCTTGCGCTCGGCTTTGGTGCGTTTTTTGGCTGCTCCAAAAGCGATTTTGGGTGCTGCGCAAGCCTTTGGCCCCCTATCTTTGAGTTCCACGACGGGCTTTGGTTCTGCAGGAAGTGCCATAGGAGCGGGCCCCTGAATCTCAGTCGGCGCTGGCAAAGAGTTTGTAAGTGAGGAGGGTAGCTGCTTGTGCCTTTGCTGTGCTTGTTTGGAAAAGCGAGTCAAGGGGTTAAGCTGTCTGAGTGGGATCTCTCAAAGTATACCCTGTCACCTTTCGATCTCGAACAAAACACCTGCTTGCTACCTCAAGAAGCCTAAGTATATAACTTGCCCTACTAGCGGCCGCGTTTGAGAAGATTACAATTGCATTTAATGTCTACCCATCATATCGGTTCCTGGAAAACGAACTGGCCAAGACACCTGGATTTAGCAGAAAACCGATTCTCGCGCTCCAAACCCTAAACCCTAAACCCCAAACCCCAAACCCTAAACCCTAAACCTGGTGCAGGAAGCGCGAAAGTCCCGCGTCTTAGGTCTTTATTCGCAGTTTTGGAGTTCCGAGCTCCTTTGAAGAATCGCCTTGGCGCTGTTGCCAGTGAGGTCGTGGATCAGCGACATGAAGGAAGTGGAGGTCTGGCCCTCGGTTTGGGTTTAGGGTTTAAGGTTTAGGGTTTAGGGTGTTAGGGTGTTAGGGTGTTAGGGTGTTAGGTTTAGGGTTTAGGGAGTGCAGGGTTTTGGGTTCAATTGGTGGTTTGAGGTCTGGCGGTCAGGCAGTGACAACTCAGGTGTTTACGGAGTAGCTGAAGTTGTCAGCCTTATTTGTAGGGTATCGCACAGCCTGTTCATGCTCTTGTGGCGCCTCCTTGATGTGAACGGCCCTGCGAACCCAAACCTAAGCCATAGACCCTACATCACCATGACATCACCATGATGGCACCCTGGAGCACGAAACCGGAAACCTGGAAACCTGGAAACCCTAAACCCGAAACCCTAAACCCTAAACCCTAAACCCGAAACCCTAAATCCTAAACCCTAATCCTTAGCCATCCTTAACCCAGAACCAGAGGACATCGGCCTCATTCTCCGAGGAGGGTTTGGGGCCTAAAGGGGGGGGGTCTGAAAGCGAGGCTTGTTGGAGTCACCAGTGCTTTTTTTTTGTGGAGCACCGAGCTCAGCCTGAACTCCTAGTGTCAGAGACGGGGATCTCACCCTAAACCCTCAACCCCTAAACCCTAAACTCTCGGCAAATTTAAATTTGATGGCTTTATCAGGGTGTTGGGGTTCTTAGGGCTTCCGCCGACTGAGCTTTCAGCCGAAGCTTTCGACTTCGGCGACGTAGAAATCGTCTGCGTTGAGTCCTCTTTCAAAAGTTGACTCTCAAGCCGCTTTGGAGCTGCATAAGAGCCCCTCCCCCACGCTCCCGCAACACATGTATCTGTTGCTTAAACTCACCAAGGTCCATTCTTGTTCTTTTCATTGGGGACCCTGCTAGACATGTAGGGCAACCGAAAAAGGCATTGTCAAGTTAGAAGGCTGGCCATTCAAATCCGAAAGCCCTGAGGCCACCAAAGCCTAAACTTAACATTGGCTTTGGACTCTTAGAGCTTCTGGGTTCAAGACTACCAAAGGTCGCGGGTGTTTAGCAAGCTTAGTGCTTCAAGGTTTAAGATTGGGGGCCTAGGATCTTAAGGCTCATGGTTTGGGTTTTGGGGATCTGCAGCTCCAGGGTGCTTTCGGGTCCGACTGAGTAACTGGCTCATGCCGAGAGCTGTGTCATTATGTCTCGCCATTTCGAAGATGAAAACGCAGACAGCTCGTGCTTTTGGCCTTCGCAACCCTCCCTGCTTTTAAACGAAGCCTGGCCTGACAGGGGCCGGGAGGCTGGGAGCGCCCTAAACCCCGAAACTGCCTGATCGCTCAGCCCTAAACCCTAAACCCTAAGCCGAAACCCTGAGCCCATAACGGCCGAAGCAGCGCGCCTCGTTCAAGCTATCCGTCCTTGGCAAAAAAGCGGCAGCCATGTTGATATGTCTCAGGCGGAATCAGATGCTTCAAGGCCTGGGTGTAAGCCTTAAAAAGCGGTTTGGGGTCCTAAACCCTAGACCCTAGACCCTAAACCCTAAACCCGAAGCCCTAAGCCCTAAACCCTAAAGGGTTTAGGGTTAGGGTTTCCGGTTAGGGCTTCGGGTTTAGGATTTAGGGTGCGAGGATCCGAAGGGGCAGGACTTGAAGCTTTGCTGCTTTGGGGCTTCAGGGACGCGCCCGCAGTGGGGTTTGGGACTAAAGAATGTTTAGGGCGTGGCTTTCTTCTGCTGTAGTCTTCTGCACGCAACCTTCGGTATCTTTAGTTTCTCTATCCGAGTTGTCAAGATTTCGGGATCTGTGGATCATTCCTGTGCCGTCTCTGACCCAGTCTAGTATGTTTAGGGTGGCACCACATTTGCAACATCCTGACCCAGAGAACAAAACCGGTGCGGACCATAGGCTACAAAGAAGGATAGCCAGAGGGAGGGAGAGAGAGAAGAAGAGAGAGAAAGGAGAAGAGAAAGAGAGCAGATAAACCGACAAGCATTACAATGAAAAATAAGTAGAACAGGTGAGAGAGGAAGAGGGAAGAGAGCGAGAGCGAGAGCGAGAGAGAGAGAGAGAGAGAGAGAGAGACTCCTGATTTTGTATGTCGCAATGCCGCACATCGCGGCCAGAGCAGTTGCTGTCGGGACGACGCGAAATAGGTTACAATCCACCGTGCCACTCGGCCGCGACACGTTGGAGTCGCCCTCCCCCCAGGCGACCAGGTTTGCAACAGCTTTTATCAAGGCTTCTTCACTAGCTTCTTCGTCTCATTGAATCTGGACCACTTGACAGAACACCCGAGGAAGTCGCTCAGCTCCTGCGAGCCATGGATGTCGATGTTGAAATGCAACAGCTTGACGTTTCGACGAGGAAGCAAGGTCAGCACGCGCTCGTGATGCGCCGCCACCCAAGCCGTAAGCTCCTCATCCTTCGTGCCGACTCCGGCCGGCAAGCCAGGGAGATCCGCACACTCGAAACGCTTGCGCAGGTCGTTGTGGCCGTTCACAGACTCGACCCAAGCAGCCAGGTCCATCACATTCAAGATGAAGTACGCGTGGGGGTAGGCTTCAACCAGCGCCTCTAAGTGGACCATTTGAGGGAAATATGCCTGGACCGTGGTCTGGTGCTCATCTTCCCAAAACATGCCGCTCATCTCGGCCAAGGCATCCACATACGGAAGATATGCCAGGGGCTCTTTGCGCTCGCTCACGGCTTGTTCAATCAGTCTTCCCACCAGTCGGTGTTCGGAATTCTTGCCCCAAAGTCGCAGCTGCCTGTCTTTCTTGGAGTCCAAACCGGCATCCAAGGCCCAGCGTACAGAGTACAAGCCCGCTGACATGAATGCCTCGTGCAAAGACGTGGTGCCCGTGTTGGGCATTCCGAGTGCCACCACCAGCTTCCGAGTTGCTGGTGCAACGCTCCTTCCCAGACGCGTCTCGCACGTGCGGGCGTCGTAGACCACGGAGTAGTCGTGGTCCTTGTCTTCATCCCAAGTGCGCGACCAGCTCCACTCCGAGCTCGTGTGCCACCAGCCCCGCCCCCACCGCTCCCACCGCTCCCACCGCTCCCATCGCTCCCATGTACACGGCCAGCTGTCCTGGCGCAGATGAGTTCTGATCCACAATATCCACATCATCCACCTACAACTCAGGTTTATCCATTTATGTTCTTGCTGAGTCGCCGTTTCCGGGTTACTTGCTCACCTATGCCACCTTTTTCCGCCTTGTCACCGATCCTTCTTCTCATTGGCCCAGCCAATTTCTTTCCTAGCCGTGCTGAAGCCCCATTGGTTTCGAGCAAACGATTAGCCGATGCACAAAGCTCAATAGAGCCTCTCGCTTCTCCTGGGGGATTTCTAGGGTTCAGGGCTCAGAGGGAGGCTTCGATATTGTTAGTACTACCCCAAGCCCTTACCCTGAAAGCTCTCTGGATACCTTTTGCAGGGCCGGGAGTTCGAGGTTGCCTATTGTAGGATTTAGGGAAGCTAAGTTAAGAGGGTTCATAGGGGTTTGGGCTTTGGGCTTTTGGGTTTCCAGCTGAGCGTCCAACCGCATCTACATAAGCACAGGTTGACGTCGCATACATTCTATTTCTATTTCTATTTCCAGCTGAGATCGGGATAGGCCAGAGTTTCGCCAGTGCACCGGCGAACCAGCGTGACAACGAGCAGGGGGAATCCCAAAAAGACACTCAACAGCCAGAAGTGACCCGTGTCCTGCTTCCAGTCCGGTACCTTTCGCTCTGATTCGGCCGCTGGGGGGTCCTCTTCACCAGCCACAGCAGCTGCTCCACACTCGGCCATGCGGCCAAGAGCGATGTGTGTTTGAATGCTTACACTGTTTGGTTGACGAGTGCCATCTTGACTTGCCCCTTGTGGAGTCCACCAGCACGCTTGAGTGTCAGGAGCTTCTGTGCTTCCTTTGCTGGCCCCGCAGGAGCTTCAGCATTGAGTCTTCTTTTCGGAGAGATGCAGAGCCCAAATGTCCGGGAGCTAAATGCCGCCTGCGGTTGTGGGTTCCTAAACCCCAAACCCCAAACCCCAAACCCTAAACCCTACACCCTGACTCAAGGGATTCCGGGCATTTAGGGATTCAGAGCGAGAATTCCAACACCTGGGCAGCAGACTGCTGAGAACCCAAAGATGCCGAGGCTGCAGACCTGAGAGGGCGCCAGAGCGTTATTTTATGATTGCATGATGATTATTTTATGATTGTATGGTCACTATGTAGGATTATCTTGCGAGTATTTATGATTATGTCATGAATTATTTTATGATTATGTTATGAATATAGCAAAACAAAACTTACTATACGGAATAATACTGTGACATAGGGGCTTTGCAGTGTGTGATGTTATGAAATGACAATATCTTCTTCTGATTCATGAAATTGTAGTACTACTCCTATTATATGATGCTTACGCTATAGCACTACTGCTGCTATGATCCCTATTGAATTCCTACTATTATTCTTTATTTTATTAACCCTAAACCCTAAACCCTAAACCCTAAACCCTAAACCCTAAACCCTAAACCCTAAACCCTAAACCCTAAACCCTAAACCCTAAACCCTAAACCCTAGACTATTCTTTAGTGTTTCGGGCTTTCTCTAGCGCTGCGGGGCAGAGGCTTTGCATGGCATGGAGGCTTCAGCTTATTGCCGTCTAGACTTTAAGGTCACTGGTTTAGGGTTTAGGGTTTAGGGTTTAGGGTTTAGGGTTTAGGGTTTCGGGCCTTAGGGTTTGCAGAGTTTAGGGGCTCAGGTCGAAGTGGTCCCAAAGACTTCGGTGTTTTGAGCTTCGCGGGTGGTTGCTCGAAGCTGTGAGGAGCGTCGAGGGCTTTTGCGGCAAACTTCCTAAACCCTAAACCCTAAACCCTAAACCCTAAACCCTAAAGCCTATGTTCATCTCAGCTCACTCTGGACACATTGCATGCCCTGCTTTGCGAGGAACTTGGAGTCGGGGAGTTTTGGCTCTGGAAAAGGCATCGGGCCTCTCTGAGTGGAGCCTTTTGCCTGGTGCTCGGAGTCTAGTGGTCCTTTGTGACACTCTTGGGTAACAAAGGCTCCTAAACCCTAAACCCTAAACCCTCAACCCTTAACCCTAAACCCTAGAAAGAGATGGAATACTAACCTTGATGCGCATTCAGAAGTCGAACCTGAGTCGGAAGCCCCAAGAGTCGCACCATGAGAATGTTGAGGTTTAGGGTTTAGGGTTTAGGGTTAGGGTTTACAGCAGCGAAGAAAGCCTGGCACCCCGGCAGTGCTTGAAGAAAGCTCATCCGCTTGCTGCCGCCACTGGCCTCACGATGTTCGTTGGCGCCACAATTGGATCATTGGCCTTTCTAAGCCACCACCACAAGTAAAACCAGACCGCATATGTGGGGTTTCTCATCGAAACACTAAGCCAAAGGAAGGCCGCGGCTTTTCGGAGCTTTTTCGCTGTATGGTTGTGGTTTCAGGCAACTTCTCCTTTGGGTGTTTGCGCGAGCATCTCCATTCAGCGTTAGGGTTTAGGGCTTAGCGTGTATCTCCATGCAGAAAGGCAGAGGGCTGGGAGTGTGGACCCCTTCCCCCCCCCCCCTAGGCGCAAACCCTCACACAAAACAGAAGCTCATCTAGGGTGCGGCCAACATCTCTTCTTGAGGCTTGAAAGTTTCTGCGCCAATCTCGCGCTCCAAGGTTTGGGGCATTAAAAGGCTTCTGAACCCATATCTCGTGTTGTGTTTCTGGGCCACGTTTTGCCGGGCTTGTCAGTCATTTCTCCATTTCTGGTTTGGGACTGGTGTGCACAGCCGGTCGCCACAGTTTCATCAACAAACTGGCGTAACTAGAGACAAAGCAATGTAACCACAACACTCAGAAAGACTAAATTCAAGACAAGCCCTCTAAACCAGCAACCCTGAATCAGAAACGACACCCCCCGTGAAACCCTAATCCCACAACCCTGCATCTGGCCTGAACCTCAACCGTGAATTTCCATCCCTGTCCCTGGCCTGGGGTCGGTTTAGGGCCCTCTAAGAATTGAAAATTTTAAGGCTGTATAAGGATTCTAGAGGGATAAAGGGGTCAGAAACACTGAAAATTACGTTCAAAGCTAACCCCTGTGGCCTTTGACTGCTGCGAAGTCTGGTTATTGGGTCCGCCATCCTTGCGCTCTTCAGGACCGAGGGTTTAGGGTTTGGGGTTTGTGGTTTAGGCTTCGTAGTTCGGATGCTCCCCCCCATCGACACAGTCTTTCATAGGAAGAAAAGCGATCTTGCACCGAAATGTTCATCCGACTAGGAACGCGCAGATTTAAAAAAAGTGCCCCGGAATCGTGCGACATGTTTCCTGGGATAGTCTGACTCCCCCCCCCCCCCCCCGGCCCCGATTTTCTTGCGGGTAATGCAGAAACTACAGCTGGGAGAGGAGAGGGAGCTAGCCAGCCAAGCTTCGGGTGTACGACTTAGGGTTTAGGGTCCTGCCGACGGCGAGCCCATCCCCCAAACAAAACTGACCCTTTAGGGTTTAGGGTGTAGGGTTTGGGGTTTAAGGTTTAGGGTTTAGGGTTTAGGGCACATTTCTAGCCCCTTCCCCAACAGCCCGCCGAAGAGTGCTTTTTCCTCCCGGCGAATTCTGGAGGTTGTTGGAGAACATAACTTTCATGCGCTGGGAATTGGCCCGACCAGGGCACGGTCCATTTTTGGCCCCAGCAACTGTCGTGCAGACCTCAACCCAGAAACCCCCAAGGCTCTGGCACCTGGGACTACCCTTTACTTTGCAAGGGACCCTAAACGGCCCTAAACCCTAAACCCTAAACCCAAGACCCTACAGTACTTCTTAACAACTTGTGGTCGAACACGCGTAACAAAAGCGGGGTGCTTCGACGGTGCTGACTCGCGTTATGCATGGTTTCCTGTAGTATTGAACATTTGATGATAAGGTCCGTTGCCAAAGCAGAAATTACAGGCGAAGTTATATTAGGATGTAAAGGTTTACATGCAGACAGACTAACAATAAATGGCGGCCAAGACTTAGATGAAGTCTTCCTCCACATCGAGTTGGTGCCGCCGAGCAACAGAGCGCAAGCACAGAGATCTGGGTTGATCTCATTGCCAGGCGTGGCAGGGACTCTGTGACCATCACAGGTCTTCAGCTTGACCCGACTTGTATTGACAAATTTGAACTTCACCCCCCCCCCCCCCCCCCCCCCCCCACCGCTGTTGTCAGAAACACCTCGTGCCTCACACTTTGTTTGCTTATCGGACTGTCAGGGGGAGGTTGGGACGAGGACGGGGAGGGCTACCAGAACAAGTTACAAACGAAAGAATTATACATCGGGGACTTGAGGGTTAGCGCTTGCGAGGTTTCGGGTTCCATGGTGAACTCCTTAAACTGCTTTAGTGCAGGCTCGACAGATCCCTTTTCGCCCCGAGAACCCTCCTTGCAGCGTCCTTGTCACCCCGGGAGCTTCCACGGGACTTGGCGCGCTCCTGCACTGCAGGCAACGGTTACGGGTTTCTACTATTTGCATAAGAACCTCCCAAAAACGAAACATATTCTTCATTATAAGCGCAATATAGGGATTGTTGTTCTTTATTTTTTGGGGGGTTCTGAAGCAAATAGTAGATTTAGGTTGTAGGATTTCTGCTTCATTGTTGGGGTTATATTAGAAATTTTCATTGTTATCCCTTATTGGGAATTTGATAGGACAAGAATGTAAAATCACAACCAACAAGGACCCCGATTTAGGATACAGGGTTCCCTCCACCCTGTTCTGAAAGCACACAGCACTTCTCTTCGAATGGGCTAGAGTCTCGAGGGTTTGGGCACATCAGTCGCCCAGAATCTCAACAGCAGGAAGTCCCGAACCCTGAGCTTGGGCCAGATATCTGCTTCACCACTGGTCACCCCTGTAGTGGCGTGGGCCATGCATGGCCATGCCCTGAAGTGCATGGTTAAGCAGTCTATCGGCCAGTGCATGACAAGGGAGCTGCTCAACCTTAAGCATGCGCACCTTATCCCAACCCTAGGGTAGGCTTGTGGGACCCTAAACAATTAACGTTCCATGGCTTCATAAGGATCTGATAATTAGGGATTAGGGGGTACCGAAAACTCTATATTTTCTATTCTCGAATCAACCCCTGAAGCACATTGC